ATATATATACACCCTTAATTCGCTACACATTGCCACTGCTAAATTGTGATTACGATTAAAAATTTCAAATTCTCTAATGGCTTAATTTTTCAAAATAGTGAGTTATGAAGTGCACTTGATAGGGCATGAAATTTTCTATTAGCTAAAGTTGATTTAGAATTTTTTTTTTTTAAATGAGCATTCACATAATATCTATAAGGTCCGCTTGGACAGTGCAACTTGTGCCTGTTGATAAGGATTATTTGGTTTGGTTGAATTGATTACCTCATATGATTAAGTAGATTAGAGTTCATGTTATTTCGTGATTGACTGAGTAGATTAGAGTTCATGATAATCCGTGATGATGAAATTATGGAATTTTGATCAGATTTGTTATTATTTCTTCTAAATATATTTTATGCTAGAGTTGATGTATTTTTACACAATCTTAGAATTAATTTATTGCTAATATAAGCTAGGCTATTAGTGCCTACTAGCTAGCCTTGATCAAAATTCTTACTCATCATTGAAAGAAATTATTAATAATTGGGGATTGAGACTATAGAAAGTTTTGAACTAGATCAAAAAGTTATCACAAAACGAGAGTGAAACTTATAGATAGTACCTTATTTAAATTCTAACACACCTAAAATTTGTCTTGAACTACATACACTCATGAAAGAGCGGAAGCTTTAGATGTCTTTGTTGACTGGGATCCCATAGTTTCCTTTCTCGCTAGCCCTAGTCGCAAGTGTATTGCGAGTGGCAAAGGCGAATAGGGAGAGTGTGAGTTTCAGAGTTATGTGTAGGCTGCGATCCTGTCGTTGGTTTCCCACTAGCAAAGTTGTGAGTTATGGCGCAAGAGAGAAAGACAGGACTTTCGAAGGTCTCTGTATGCTGCAATTCCGTCGTTGCTTTTCACGTTGGGTCTAATCGCGACTGTATTTGTCTGTATCTGAGGAGACAAATGCGAGAGGAACATTTAGGGTGAGAGTGGCGCAAAAGGAGAGAAGATGGGAGTTTCGGAGGTTTTTGTATGATGTAGTCCCATCACTGCTTTTCTTGCTAGCCTTAGTCGTGATTGTATCGTGAAGCTTGCTGTCAGAAAATGTAAGGAATTTTCGAGCGGGCCTTTATTTGCTAACAGTGGCGGAAGACAAATCGATTTGAACAGGAAGGAGAAGTTTTATTTCTGTTGCGTGCAGTTTTCTGAGGCTGAGAGGAATAGGGGGCCTGATTTCAGTTTTGTACATGAAAAAGAGAGGAGCGGGGGCAGTTATAGATCCAATGGTATGAGCAGATAGGCCATTTCTTTTTGTTATTTTATTTATTTTTTTGATGTTCCACACTTATTAGAGAGGTCTAGAGGACCAGGATTTATAATCCTAGATTTGAGTAGTGTCAGATGTAGGTCTTACTATTTTTACTATAGAATTCTTATGATCCTATCTTACAGGCAAGACAACCAAAGGATTAACTTGGTTTGATGGGCACTAGTAGATGGTTTGATGGGCAATATAGAATTATTATGATCCTATCCTAATGCCGGTTATAATTGTTTGAAGATTTCTCATAATTCTCTTCAACTTCACACTAATAAGTTTCATATTAGATACTAAAGGCATTTACTTTTCTTCACGGATGTACATAATTTCATTCTAGAGTGATAGTGTCTACATCATAGTATTTTGTATCAATCTCAACAATCTTGACAAAATTTAGTAAGTCACTAGTATGTTTAGCTAATTTGGGATCAAACATAGTGTTGATCAAACTATTCTTCGAATTTATCGAACTTTATGGAAACCATAGGTTCTCATCTCCGATCAATCATAAAATATCATCCTTACTATTTCTAGGATCATAATTGTTATAATCATCTCAAGACAGATATTTTAGGAGTTAGTCTTTTGAAGGCATCTATTAGAAAAATCTGAATAAAAAGAAAAAAAAAACCGTGAAATGGCTGGATGGCTGGAGGAGGTATGCTGGGTAGCGTTGTTGCAGCTGTAAGGATGGTCCGAGTAAGTTCATGTTCTTGGCAGCCAGCAAGAAGTCAGTAAATGCATAAGCAACATGAAGCAGGATTTATTGCCTAACGTATTCTAGTTTTTGATGCGTCATGGAAGGCCATGATGAATGCTTTGATGGGTTCCATCTCGCTCTCTGAAAATGATGCTACTGACTGCAGCTTACACTCAACTGGTTTTGAACGGTATAAGGCTTCTAAAGTGCTCTGTTATTTACCTTTATTAGCTCAAATGCTCAACTTAGGCAGCTTTAGCGCTGACTGAAACCGTAGTACAACTGCTGCAGTTTGTGGTTGAAAATATTTAGCCATGCAGACGGGCTTGATTATTTTTTTTGTGTTTTGAGAAGCCATGTGTTATTGTGTTTTTCCATGATTTCTAAGCAAATTATAGTGCAGGAATTGTTTGTTTCAAGTTCAAAGATTATCATGCAGCAGTGGAAGATCTTTCTTCTTGTGTCAAATGCGATGCGGAAAACAAGTCTGCTTACACATACTTAGTGAGTACAAGCGTTTTTCTTACATTTGCTTCAATGCTGAGATTGAGCAACGATGTTTTATAATTAGAAACTAAAAAGTAGGAAATGATATAAATTAGCCTCAACCTTCATAATAGCAAAGCTGACGGTGAAATTTGCCTTAACTCAGAAATCGTTACATCCACAAACTCTAGATGGTAATTAGGAACTTCATTTCTTACTTCTTGTATCCCTTGCTTCGTGAACTTAACCACTTTTGTTGGACTATTTCCACATGCTATAGTGTGTTTGCCACCCTTTCCAGGATAGAGACAGAATAAACATTTAGTTTGCTCATACAACAGAATAAACATTTAGTTTGTTCATGCACCAGTACATATTTCATGCTTCAATGTTAAAAAAGATTATTGATCAAGTTCAAATGATCCAATATCAGAAGTCATAACAGCACACAATTCATTTTTTTACCATAACATCATCCATTGGATATTACGCTTGATAATTGTGTCAATAATTCTATTTCGAGATCGAAGCATGTAATTATCATATTACAAGTTGTTAATATTTGTGGGCTTGCATTATTATTTACTCAATCCTCGCCATCCATCTTGTTATGATTAAAAAAGAAAAGTATGAAGGGTTTCGTGTCACTGTCACGATCTGGTCCGAGTGCTTAAAATTATCAAGGCGGGAACTGCCGGTCGAACGTAGAAAAATTATCTAGCAATACTACTTTACAATAAAATTCCAAGTATAAGGATTTCTATTTCATAAAATTTATAAGCATCTAACTTAAAATACAACTGAACTAAAATACCTATTAGCTTGCGTTCCACGACATCCATATTAGCTTGCGTTCCACGACATCCATACAAATACTCCCTGGGGTCCATCTAGTCTATAATTGTTTTTCCAATAAAATATTATCAACTAAAGGTTTGAGTGAAAACTACTCATGGACAAATATTTATAAATTACAATTATCATTGAATGGTATCTGTGAAACGACACCCGTTTCACAGGTGTCATAACAAATAATTTTTTTCTCTCAATTCTTTTAAATTAATTAAATTAATTACAATAAATTTTTCAGGTTATTACAATCTTCCCTCATAAAATTTCGTCCTCAAAATTTAAAGTAAAAGAATATGTTTCATACCGTAATTGAACATGCGATGATACCTATCTCTCGTTTTTTATTCCTTCTCCCATGTGGTATTTTTTTCAGTCCCGTGTTTTCATAAGACATGAATAAAAGGATTCTCTCTACTCTTGAACTGCTTTACTCATAATCTATTATTTTTTTTGCTCATCCACAAATGTTAGATCAAGTTGAATATCTATGGGGTCTGTGACAAGCTTACTAGTCTCATTAGTAATATACTTTAACAGTAAGAAGATATGAATTACATTATGTACTCTGTACTTATGTGCTGGTAGTGTAAGCTTGTAGACCACTTTTTCAGTCTTCTCCACAATTTTATATAGACCAACATATCGTGGACTCAACTTTCCAGACTTTCTAACACCCTACATCGAACTGACCTTCAAAAAAACAAATTCACCCACTTCAAATTCCATTGATCGGTGCTTATTATCATGATAATTTTGCTATCTATCTTAGATTGCTCTCAGTCTGTCATGGGTCAATCGAATCTTCTCAGTTGTTTCATCAATTCAATCAACACCAATTAATTTTCTTTCACCATTTTTCGCTCAACAAAGAGGTGTCCTGCATTTTTTTTTATAAAGGGTTTCACAAGGAGCCATACCAATACTGGTCTGGAAACTGTTATTGTAGGCGAATTCTATCAGTGGTATGTGTATTTGCCAGCTTCCACCAAAATCAAGAACACTAAGTCGAAGCAAATGTTCTAATAATAGATTGTATTCTCTGATTGAACATCTATTTGAGGATGAAAAGCTGTACTGAAGGTCAATTATGTACCCAAAGCCTCTTGAATTTCCCTAC